CTCATATAAATACGGGATTCACTTTCGAAATAGCTTGTTTACAATCAGGATTAGTTGCTTAGCCTATATCCATCGCCTTAACGGCAGGCAAGTATTTCAATTTAGTTTAAAAATCGCTCCTTTTTATAACAGAAGGATCACGTCCAACATGTTGTGATTATCAATACCTTTCTCTTGTAATAGCGTGGTGGTTGAAGAGAGATCCCCTCATACGAATGTAAGGCGCGTTGGGTGTGCAGCAATTCAATGAAATCGCTAATATATATATATATATATATTATATATACATATATATATATTAATATTTATATATATATATAAATGCATCATCCCTAAAACCGTAGCCTACATTACCGACTTTCCTGTATCTCATCCGTTCTTTTTCAGTCACTCCTGAAACTTTGCTGCATGTACAGGGTATGTGGCTGTTGGTCCTGTTAGCAGCACGTAAAACAACTTTTATTCAAATTCTGAATCGATTATATCTGATTTCTAGTCGTGTCCTCTTTTGGAAGACCAAACAAAGTAGTTTTGCTTTCACAACGAAACACACAGCGGGCTAGAGTGAGGAATGGCCGGCGGGCTAGTGTGAGCAGAGGCCAGAGGCCTAGAGTGAGCAGAGGCCGGCTTGAGTGAGCGGTGGCGGGCGGGCTTGCGGCAACCACATGGGCGCTTCGTCCACGGTGAAAGCCGATCCGGCGATCCACAGCGTGAAGTTGATGTATTTCCTCAGCGACCAGCACGGATCAGCTCTAGACATGACGAAGCGGATATCGTCCTCTTTTGGAAAGCCAAACAAAGTAGTTTCGCTTTCACAACGAAACACACAGCGCCTTCACAACATGGCGGCGGCAACAACAATACTACAGCGAGAATAAAAGTTACGCCTTCTTTCTTTGCGTGAACATTTGGGCGGCGTAATGCAAATCTTCCCACATAGTGAGGTAGATATGTGGGGGCATGTTAGAACGAGCCGTTTTAGGTAGGCGTGGTTGACTCTTAACTTTTATAAAGAATATCTCTTTGGATTTGAGACTTTAGTCTTTGCAACTTTACAGATCTTCTTTATGCACCAAAAGCTTGTAACACTTCAAAAAGAAAGGAAAGATTGAAATCGCATCATATGACACCTTTAAAGCTGCCAAACCATATTATTGTAACCTATTTTTTTTTTTTTAACAGTGAAATTCCTGGTGAAAAACTACATTTCCCATGATTCTGTAAAGAAATTTCCACCAATCATGGAACTGAAATAAGCAAATTGTGTTAAAAGAACTCAGGAGTGCCTGCCCTTTTTATGAAGCACTGAGAATGACTTCCTACACTCTCAAACTACTTAAAAGGGTTAGTTCACCCAAAAATGAAAATTAGGCTGCGTTTTACTCACCCCCGAGGCATCCTAGGTGTAAATGACTTTCTTCTTTCAGATGAATCCAGTCGGAGTTATATAAAAAATTGTCTTTGATCTTTCAAGCGCTATCATTGCAGTCAGCGGGTGTTGCATTGCTTCAGTCCAAAAGAAGTTAAATAAAAAGCGCTCTCACACGGCTCCGGGGGTTGAACAAAGGCCTCCAGTAGCGAATCGATGCGTTTTTGTAAGAACAAATATCCATATTCAAAACGTAATGATCACTTTAATCTAGCTTGCGCCAGCAGTTGTACACAGAAGCAGTTCTGGGAGCATGACGTATGAGGTCAGCGTTGCGCATGCGCCGGTGAGTCTCGTGAAAACCAACGTTTGTTAACAGGAGCAAAGGAAGCAAAGTTTCCTTACTTTAGCAAAGGAAAACCAGTCTCCTCTTGGCTTATATCGAAATCCTCTGACATTCTTCTTTACAAATCCTGGTTTTGTGCTTCTAATTCTTGACCTTTGTTTTGTTTTGATCTCTCCGCTGCGTTTCCGCGTGCGTCACTTCTGAGCGGCGCATGCGCAAAGCTGACCTTATAAGTCATTCCCCCGGAACTGCTTCCGTTTACAACAGTGAGCGCAAGCTAGATTCAAGTGATTACTATGTTTTGATTATGGATATTTTTCTTACAAAAACGCATCGATTCGCTACAGGAGGCCTTTGTTCATCCCCCGGAGCCATATGAGACACTTTTTTTATAGATGGGCGCTTTTTATTTAACTTCTTTTGGACTGAAGCAATGCAACACCCACTGACTGCAATGATAGAGCTTGAAAGATCAAAGACAATTTTTTATATAACTCCGACTGGATTCGTCTGAACGAAGAAAGTCATATACACCTAGGATGCCTCAGGGGTGAGTAAAACGCAGCCTAATTTTCATTTTTGGGTGAACTAACCCTTCAAATATGTGTCAATTAAAAAAGAATATTGACTATAGAAATGTAAACAACTTTTTAAAGATTGAACTGAAAACTGAAATTGTCAGAAATGGAAATTATTTTAAAATTCCCTTGCACTGTCAGGTATTTCATGGAAACCCAGATATCACCATCAATATTTTTGTTTATTTGAGTTCACTCACCCTCTTTGGTCTTCGGTGCAGGTGCCGGGCTGGGTGTGCTGGTTTCTGGAGACTGTGGGGTGACAGGCATCATGGGAGACATATCCTTTGGTTTAGAGTCCCTCTTGCGAAGGGTAGGAGGGCCGGTGGGGGTGAGAGCAGGTTTCTGAATGGGTGGAGGTTTGGATGTGGCAGAGGGCTGAGGGGATGGAGGCCGCTGTTTCAAACCACTGGGGGAAGAAGGGCGGAAGTGTGGACTCTGCCTGAAGGACACAAACATAGAAGGGAAGTTAGAAGATGGGCTTACCCACATCTGTACTATAGACAATGGGAGATGCAATTTGAGCAGCAGATTGTAAAGGTCTGAAATCAAACTATTATTTTAGAGTGAAACCACTGCAGGCTAAACCTGATCTCAGGGGTCTTACTTGGCTGCTCCAGGTGAGGGCGCTCTTGTGGTGGTGTTAGCAGCGGGAGAAGGAGACGGGGATCGGTGACGACTGGAGGGCGAGGCAGGGCGTTTTCCTACTGGTGACGTGAAGCGCTTCTCTGTCTCACCTTTCTGCTTTTACAAATGCAAAAAAGAAAAAAAATAAGAGATCACATCTCATCCACTATGAATTAATGAGCAAAACACTCAAACTGATTTTAAGATTTAAATTAGATTTTGAATCAAAGATTTTCAATGTGATTTCTTCTTTTGATCCAAAAGTCTATGTAGTGATAATCACTGTTCAGTGTAATCAAAGCTATATATTCACTCCATTGCAGCTGGGATTTTACTGCTGTCATCAATCTGAAAAAGACATGTCCTTTCAATCTATTTTTAATCTTCTGTCCACATGCTCAGGGTGTCAATGGGACAAATAAACTAAACGCAGGACAGGCTCATAAATGTGGAGACATCTTTTACGGGAACCCTCCCCATATGGTCACAGCAAAGCAGCAAGCAGCGAGTACACCATGTTTTCTTCTCTAACTCTAGATATCTCTCCAAATGACTATCAGGCAGATAAGATATAGAGAGCTGTAAGGCCAAGTCACTTGTGAAGCTAGAGTACAGTATGACCATCAGAAGGACACATGTCAGATTCAATTTACATTCCTTCAGTGACTATACAATGCAAGCTCTCGTTCGCGTTCTCTTTGAGATACACACTCAAGCTCGGTTAGCATTCATTATATGTAGGGCAATGTTTCAAATTAACTGTGTCTGAATGAATCACTGAAGTGGGCATTTCTAAACCTCTATATGAGGGATCATACTGTCACATGTAGTTCAGATCTGATTATGTTAGAGTAAAAAAAAAAGAAAGTCAGACTCGGCATGTTAAGAGCCTAAATGCCCCTAAAACTCCAAAGATAAATCATAGTTTAGGGTCTGACTAGCACACTGTAGTAAAGACAGTAAAGATATTTATAATAAATATAATTATATAATAATTTATTATAATACTAATTCTTCTATTTCTGTAATATATGCTGTTTTTGTAGTTTCCAGAAAATATTAAACAGCACAACTATTTTTAACACTGATAATAATAAGAAAAGTTTCTCAAGCAACAAATCAGCATATCAGAATGATTTCTGAAGGATCATGTGACACTGAAGACTGGAGTAATGATGCTGAAAATTCAGCTTTGTTCACAGGAATAAATTACAATCAAAAATGCACTATAACAGAAAATAATTATTGAAAATGGAAATATTTCAAATTTTTTGATAAAACAAATGCAGCCTTGTTATGCTTAAGAGATTTCTTTCAAAAGTGTTTTAAAAATTCTTACCAACCCCAAACTTTGAAATGGTACTGTAGTTTAACATTTTCCCGTTTTGCTAAGCTAACAGCACAATGCTTAGTCAAACAGACAATACATAGTACATGCAAATATTTGGTGAAATAGGAAGTTTTTAATAAGGCTGGACTATTTTTCAGTATTGAATGAAAAATTCTACTAAAGTGTGTGAAAGCAAGTGTTTCCAGCTACACACAATCCTGTTGTTGAAATGTTTAAATGCCATCATTCGTACTCTGATTTCTGTCACAGGAAATCAGCAGATTGAAAAGAACAGTTTGGCACATGGTCAAAAAGTTATTGATGTAACCCAGTTCCCTGTCTCTCCAACAGCGGTCTTAAGCCTGGATCAGATAGTGTTATTCAGAACGAACAGCTCACTGATTAACGTCAGGGATAAATCCAAGCTGTTTTGCAAAGCAAACCATAATATACGGACATATAAATGTCTGAATGAGTACATATTGTTTTAAAGCATTTCAACAAAGGAAGGCACAGATAACACACAGGGCACTGTAGTTCCGTTAAGATTATCCTGGTAATGAGATTGCGGATGATTGAAATCAAATTACATACATATACCAAGCAGTTCTACTTTATACACTACAGTACTAGTCAAAAGTTTTTGAACAGTAAGATTTTAAAAGCTTTTTTAAAGAAGTCTCTTCTGCTCACCAAGCCTGCATTTATTTGATCCAAAGTACAGCAAAACAGTACAATTTTTTAAAATATTTTTACTATTTAAAATAACTGTTTTCTATTGGATTATATTTAAAAATGTAATTTATTCCTGTGATTTCAAAGCTGAATTTTTAGCATCATTATTCCAGTCACGTGATACTTCAGAATTCATTCTAATATTCTGATTGGCTGCTCAAAAAAAAATGTTGATAATAATAATAATAATAAAAAATGTTTCTTGAAGAGCAAATCAGCATATTAGAATGATTTCTGAAAGATTATGTGACACTGAAGACTGGAGTAATGATGCTGAAAATTCAGCTTTGATCACAGGAATAAGTTACATTTGAAAATATACTCAAATAGAAAGTTATTTTATATAGTAAAACTATTTCACAATATTATTGTTTTTGCTGTATTTTGGATCAAATAAATGCAGGCTTGGTGAGCAGAAGAGAGTTCTTTAAAAAAAACAAAAAATCTTACCATTCGAAAACTTTTGACTGGTAGCGTAGGTGTTCCTTATATATGAAAAAATAGCACACATTGATTTTGTTGGGTCAAGATATCTGAAAACACCAGTAAAAATGCATAAATCTAGCATTTTTCGAATTTTATAAAATTAGAAAGAAATTCTATTTTAAATAAATGAACTTTCTATTACGCAAAGAACCCTAAATATTTAAATATTTAATGTTTTAAAACATAAAAAAACAAAAACATTCCAACATTAATAAAAAAGAGTTTCTTTAGACACCAAATCAGCACATTAGAATGATTTCTGAAGAATCATGTGACACCAAAAAACACCTACTTCAAAGTGGAAGTTGTCATGCAGCATCTGCTCACCTGTGTCATACTGGAAATGGCATCTGCTGACACAGAAGTAGGCGGGCCTTTCTTTCGATCGCTGCTGCGACTGCGTAGGGGTCCACGGGCCGAGGGCTGCATGGGGCTTGCAGATGCTGAACGAGGACACAGGTGAGACTCTGGTAAAGGACACAGTCAGTGGTGCACAGCCAGGGACAGCAGGGAAGGAACGTCATAAGCAGCCGGGTGGGTGAGCAAAGCAAAGGTATAGGAAGGGATAGAAAGAGGGAGATATAAAGAGGAAGGGAGAAGGGATGATAAAAGCACAAAACATTGGTGCATGTTAGATCATTCATACGGGCTGATGGGGAACTTTTGCTGATAGCACTGATGGCCTCAGGTAGATTGGGTTTGATGGGTGTGAGACAGAGAGAGAGAGAGACATGGCAAGGGACAGACAGCATCCTGGGCAGACATTGGTCACCAATATGCTAAAGCACACCATCTTCACCAAGCAAGCACCTTAGGCTGTAGTTTTATTAAGATCAACAATAGCATAAATTAAAGAACATTCACTCACTCATTCTCAGTTTATATCCACATCAGGGACATCAAACAGCATAAAATGTACTCCAAGCCAAGTCTCAAACGGCCTTTTCACCATCTCTGACATTTGTTTACGACTGTTGCATTTCATCGCATTTTTTGGCAGTAGTACTGAACTTTCAAATTGGTCATGAAGCAGCCCTTACCCTCGCTTATACACAAATTAATGAATAATAAAATGAAAGAATATATCCACACAAAACAAATCAGTGCCAACACGTCTAAAAAAACAATCAAAATAATTAACAATTACAAAGTAATTACTTTGAGCGTAATTTGTCATAACCACCAATTTTACAGAAATAGTGGTTAAGGAACAGTGTTGGGCAGTAACACGTTACTGTAATTTGATGACTTTTTTAGTAACGGAGTAATTTAACGCGTTATAATTTTCTAAATAGTAATTAGAGTATAGTTACAAGTCGAGGTCTCTATACGAAAGATTCATTATGCTTATATTTATTGTGCTATAACAGAGATTTGTGAGATTGCGATGAACTGAGATGTCTTTTAGAGATTATAAATGCAGTGCTCTTTGCTGGCATTCTGCCATGCCAAACCATGCACGCAGCAGCCGCTTTCTTTAGTTAAAAATAACAGTGTTTTGTGAATGTTGATGCTTTAATAACAAATACTTATCGGGAGCGTGTATGCTGGTATTTCATAAATTTCATGGAGAAAAAAGTAACGTAACTAGTAATGTAACTAATTACTAATTACTTTTGAAATAAAGTAATCAGAACAGTAACGTGATTACTTTTAAAAGGAGTAATCAGTAAGCAGTAATTTGATTACATTTTCAGAGTAACTTGCCCAACTGTTAAGGAATGACGTTTTAGTGGAAAATTAATGGTAATTCACACTTTTTAAGCTGGTTTCAGCATAAACAAAGGCAGGCAAAAAATGCAGAGCACATCCTACAGTTGGTTCCCAAAGTAAACACCCTATTCATTTCTCCATAGAGAAGCAGATGATCGCAATCATTTTTTCCCCTTTCTTCTATTTGAAATTGGTTAATTGCTAAATTCACTAATCATAATCAAATCATATAAGCCACTGTTTCCATGAAAATATAAACTGCCCCAAAAGCACCAGAGCATTATATTGATAAATTACTGAAAATAAGTGAATAGTTTCATATTAAATCATCATTCCTTCATATTTCTTGGATCTTTGCTTTTTTGTCAAGTTTTCAATTATTTTCTCTGCTTCAAATCAAAGTTTGTAATGTGCGTCATCTTAAAGCTTACTGGTTTAGTTAATGGATTAGTACATTAAAAAAATCCCCATGCAGAAAACAAATGGGGGAAACACTTTTGGAACCAAAACAATGAAAATGTGGTTGTCACTGTTGTGCTCTATAGAGATGGTATTTGATCAGGGGTTGCCCAGTATCTTTTGGTGGAGGTGAGGTGAGCAGTAAGAGCTGACCTAAGGATTGGGTCTGCTATGACAGTAGGATTTCTGTGCTAATCTCAACACACTATAATTAACTCTGACTGTTATCATCATGGAAAGCCTATAAATGTAATTGATCCATAAGCTGATGATTCATAATTCTCTTGTCTATTTTAAGAAACCAATAAGACAGTTCAGATACTATCAGACTCAGTTATGCTGATAGCATCAAGTCAACATCAAACCCTGTCGAACAAGTTACATATCCGGTATGCACATCAGTCTTTGCTGGGAATCTTAAGTGAGTTTGGTAGCTTTGGGAACTGAAGATAGTTTAGGGTGACGCTGCTGGTCTGCAGGGGCCATGAGCTGCTCTGTGTGGATCAGCTGGGGATTGAAGTAGCAACAGCAGGGCACAGATTCACACCACTCATTCCCCCTCTATCGCACAGAACCGCTTGGCTAATCAGCTTATAAAAGATCCCTCAGCAATAGCCCTTGAACACCTTGCAAATGTTGATGTGTGCATGTGTATTTTAGAGAATGAGAGCAGGATAAAACTAGTGATGCACTGAAATTTAAATGTAAAATATAACTGTGTGTTGGTGAAAAATTATTTGGGCATATTTCTGCAAGTGACAAGAGGCATCAAATGCTTGAACTGATCGACATAATGCTATAATGTATACACAAATGACACTTTACACAGCTTTTTGCTGCTTTTTCATTCAAGGTAAAGAAGAAAGTATGCTAAAGTTAGGTTCTGTATAAGGCAAACTTGCATTCCATCTGCGCTTTAAAAAAAAAAAACTGATCTATGTTCACATGTACGGACATATTTGTCCATTCCATCACAGGATTTCTCCATGTGAGTCACACAGAGAAGGTACACGTGCCTCATGAACTGTAAATGAGAGCTCATTTCTGATAATATCATCAGATGATATCTACATTTTAATCCAATTAAACCTGGAACAATTCAAATGCACTCTGCTTTGGTTAATGTAACATTTTCTGTTATAATTTCCCGGGTATTTTGGCTTTTGGCTAAAAACAGTCAACAGGCATTCAAAGTTCAAAGTCAAAAAAAATTCTGTGCATCCCTAGAAAATTTTTGTCAATGCATGTAGAACTTAATAAATGTGATTCAAGCCACATTAAAGGATTCCAGCATGCCCAATACAACACGCCAACCAAGCACCCTTGCAGAGCGCCTTTAATCTACACACAAGTGGAAGGTTCCGGAACGAGCTGGGCCTCCCTTTCCCTCTAGTGTTACCTTGGATGTCGCCTCCTTCGGCGGACAGGGCCGCAGCACTCTTGCTTCTAGCTAGCGAGGCCTGGGTGGGTGTGAGCAGCCGACTGAGGACACTGCTATCCACGGGGGCAGCCAACGAGCGGCGAGCTATAGATATGGTGTGCCCATACAGACACGAAAAACAGAGCAGACAAAAGGGAAAAGAAAAGAGATAGGTTGAGGAATAACACAAAAGAGGAAGGAGAGGGGAATGACACCAATGTGATTTAAAATGCAAGAATCAACACAAAAACCAAGGAGAAAAGTGCTTTAAATGTAAACAGTAGACGTCAATTGAGACTCTCAATGCTGGTGAGACAAAAAGAATATTAGTGAGATACGAGGAAGGTGATTGGGAGCAGGACCAGGGCTGTGGAAGTGGAGGTGAAAACAAAAGGGGAACAAAGCCAGGACTAAAGAGTAACTTCAAGAGCTTTTTGAGATCCATCAGACAAAAGTCAAATGGTATAAGTCAGGCATTTTTAATTTAAGGTATAGATTTAATTTATGTTAGTGTTAAATTAAAAAACGAACTACAGGACAGCATTTGATTAAGTCTGGTCTCTACTGCAGTTTTACAGAATCTAAAAATTTGATGAAACTGTATTATTTTGATACTGCTTGCACACTGCAAAACTGTAGCAGGACATGCTAACAGGGCGCACAAAGCTCTTGCTGTCATAAGATCTATGTTTGTAATCAGAGTTACAAATCAACAGTGGGGAAAAACTGAAAAATGAAGGAGTAAAAACTTAATATCCCTTTCTTTTCCCCCTTGGCACTGTATTGATGCAGACCAAGTCGTGAAGAGGGGTTGAGGCTGTGAAGCCTTATTGAAGGGAGTTAATAATAATAAGGAACTGCTCTAAGCATAGAGAATGGTGGTGTCTATCTGAACAAGTGTGCACGGTGATGGGGAAATTTTCAAGAGTGAATATATAAACCAGGAGTTTAAAGATGTCCTGCAAACATAAGATCTACAAATAAATATAGCGTTCCTGTAAAACCATTCAGTATTTTACATATTTAAACCTGAAATGACAATACACACACTCGCACATCGAAAACAGCCATGGCACCAGTGGCACCACCTTGGTTAATGTCATGGGGAAAAAAACAGCATAATGTTCACACAAACAAAAACACATTGTATTTACATACACTCATTCCTGGTGAGTAGGTCAGTTAGTGAGAACTCCCTGAGAGAACGAAAAAGCAACAAGGAGAGGTTAAGACGTATTGAAAGCTCAAGGCAGCAGCAAACACCAACCAACGTGTGGACAACGTAGCATAGACATTAGCGGATTGCTATGTTTCTGGTTGCACGATGATTTGATGCACGAGTGGAAGGACATGGCAAGCAAAGAACATAGGAAGACAGACGCTGCACGTTTATAACCACAAACCAACACTGTAAACCCCATGCTCCTCCCAGCATCCCTTATTACCCCAATATCATGTTCTGTTAGATGTGGATTAAGCTAGGAGCGGGGTGGACCATAGACGTGAACACAGTTTGCGCTTATTTATTAGTAAACGGCGAACAGGCATGGCAAAATGTCCCCGTTGGGATTTAAGCACCTGATTCATCTGCTGTGGATTTCTCTGGTTTGGTGGTGGGCTGTGTTTTAGCCCCTACTCGAGAGAGGGAGGAGCTTCGCTTCTTCAGGATTGGGCCTACAGACAAAGTGGACAGGGAGGCGTTAAAATCATTCAGGAAGCAAGGCCTTGTCTGTGTCTAAGCTTACACATGCCACTTGCAGTGAATGAGGAAACGGATATTTTGATGAGAACAATGCAGCTACACCTGTTTAAATGCTTATTTACATTAAAACTAGATTTTCAGAAAGATTCAGAATCTTTTATGAGACCTTGTGATTGTTCATCATTATTCTCAGAAAAAAAGTTAAAGGGATAGTTTATCCAAAAATATAAACTTCTGTCACCATTTTACTCACTGCTCCAATGACTTCTTTGGAACACAAAAGAAGAAATTATGAGAAATTGCTGATACTTTCATGGACTTTATGTTCTTTTTTTAAGCTTGAAAGCTCCAGTCAGCAAATTAATGGGAAATAACAACTAGTGCATTATTCAAAATATTTCCTTTTGTGTTTCACAGAAGAAAATCATTCAGGTTGGGCACAACATGAGGGTGAGTAAATGAAGACAGAATTTTAATTTTTTAACAATTCCTTCAAAAGAGGAGCAGCATTGGTAGTTTGGCACCTGTCTTTTCCATCTGAGGCTGCTTATGCACTTCTTTAGAGGCCTGAGGAACATTGCTAGGCAACCGGTTCAAAGACGAACTTCTCCGCTTTGCACCTGAGGGACAAAAAAGAGCTCAGCTCCTGAATCGAAAACGAAGGGTTCACTCAAGAGGGACTGAAGACAGACTTCAAAGATAAAACCAAGAACACAAGTGTGATCTAAAATCTACAACTTTTGTGGAACCACACTAAAATGTGCCTGCAGAGAAGGAAATGAAGAGGAGACTCCAACACAAACAGTGTCTGGTGTCATGGCTGGCTGCTCCTGTTAGAGGAAAAGGAAACTGTGGATAGAAACAGCATGTCTGCAAAAATCATAAGCTGCCAAGATGGCAAAAACACTTACAGCCCATTCAAATAAACACAATGCTGAATTTGCATTTAAATAACATTGTAAAATGAAACTCATCAAGCAAACCACAGGGAGAGGCACCTGTGTGAGACATGACTTGTGATTGGTTTCTGGATCACATGACCAGCATTAAAAAGCATTTACTCATGCTCAATGATCAAAAGAACTCATGCTGTATGGATAAGAAAAGGGCAGGAGAGGGCAGGGAGGGCACTTACTTTTATCGGAAGAATTAAGGAGGGTGGCTGAGGATGAGGAGAGACGCTTGCTGATGACTGAGTCAGTCTGTTTCAGGTTCGTAGTAGAGGAAGAGCGCTTGTCTACGGGTGAGGGTAAATACGCACACAGAGACAGACAGGGAGTGGAATTAGAGTTACAGGGGTTTGCACGTGCTAAGCTATTGTTAATTACACTAATACAAGCTGGTTTATCTACATTTTAAAGACAGAGTAACAACTGCACATCAAAAAGTTAGCTAAACCTGAAATTGTGATAGCCTTATATGTCTGTTACATTCTAATAATATTTTTGAAAATATAATTAATAGTATTAATAAATAAATAAATAAATATATAAATATATATATAATTTTTTATTAAGTAATTAATATTAATAAAACAATAAATAATCAGTATTTTGCAAAAGTTTCAACTACAGCAAACTCAGTCTAAAATATCAAGCATAACACTGTTAGTAAACATTCAAAGGGTAATTAATTCTGGATAAAAAGCGAAAAAACAAACAAAAAAACTGTTAAAACTCAAAGCATCATGCATCCCCAGAAACCAGGTAAGTGCTTCGAAGAACACACTCTTTGTTACAATCCCTGGCAAGTGAAGAAATTATATTATTATAAACAACTTAGTGAGTGAACGAGAAACAGCCAGTACAGCCCCAGTCAGATTAGTGCACGTATGAGCGAAGAGGAGGAGTGGGCAGTTTGTGTCAAGTCACGCCATGGGCAGGCAAACTGTATAAACCACCTTGTGACGTCTGATTCCTGGGTGGCTTGGAGGCTGGAGAAGCGGGGGAGATTACTATAGTAATCGGGAAGGAGGCGGAGCCACTGTCACTTTGTCCTGTGGGAGGGGCAGGGACAGACAGGTCGCTATTGGAAACACTCTCTCCCACGAGAAAGTGAGAGAGGTGGAAAAACGCAGCTGACAACAAGAGATTTCCATCCCTGTGGTGTTGCACAACCACCAACAAACTAACATGACTTGTTAAAGGTGAAGCGTGTCATTTTTGGGATGCTTGGGAAATAGTTTCTGCTATCCCAGTTCAAAACACTGTAGCTCTACTAAAAAAAAAAAAATCAGCAACCAAAGGTTTAATTGGGGAGGGACTACCTGTTTTGCTGACCAATGGCATATGTGGGTTTCAGGAAACTGTGTGATAACAATCATCTATGAGTCTAGTGGTGCACAAATGACACACTTCACCTTTAACAACAAATCACAGCAATCAGGATTGTCAAGAGATTTTGATTATTCATTGATTTAGAAGTCGTAACACACTTGGGCAGACTGCAGGACAGTCAGTGAAAGAAGGCTGTTCAAGTTTTATAAAGAAAAGCTGCTGAACATATTATCAGGTGCTTCTGATGTTTTGGCATTTAAGAAAAGCACTCATACCATTTTTGTTCTCAGAGTCTGAAAGTCCACCCCAGGACCATCTCTTCTGTCTCTGCTCTACTCGCTGGCTGCGCTCCAGGGTACGTCTCATCACAGCCTCATAGTGCTCCTACACACACACACTTTGTTAGACAAATAATGTCATGATACATCCTGTGAGCTGTGCAGCGGTGGACCATGGAAAAGGTGTGGGTGTCAATACTAAAACAAAGTCCATGATTCCAGGCTATTTTGCATGTTAGGTACTGAACAGAACACACATGACTCCTGCTGTACGACTGTAAGACTAACAAAATCACCTGTTTCATTTCATACATTTTCTCATAAAAGTGTGTTAATGATGAACCCTATTAAGAAGCAGGACATTCAAATTAATTACATAGTCCATCTCTAAAAGTCAGCGAAGGGGCCAGTGAGACCAGCTGACTGTATGGACATGCCAAAACACACATTTCCAGAAATAGGTGGGTTGTCTAAACCAGTGTCCCAACTTGTGGCACCCTACAAAATTAATTGTGTCACAATATTTGAATTTCTAACTTCGATATGATAATTTGAAAAGTATAGATATTCGGTACAACAGGGAGGAACTGCAGAATATAATGTCATACAGATATTTTTAATATTATTAAAAAATTGTGTCCATCAATGGTGGCACTCAGTAGGATAATTTCTAATGAAGAGACCAATTTATGACAGATTTTAATGTATTTAATGTAAACATTATTTCATTACCATTATAACTAGCTATCTCACAGATTTTTGGTCACTCAGTGTTTTTTTTTATTTTACAGTGGGGTAATTTTGGTGCAGTAGCACGAGATTTCAAACTTTGAATTTAATAAAAAATGACAAGTAAGCAGTCAGGCTTGAGAACAAGCCTGAAATTAATAATGATAGCACAAATAAAAAATAACGACAGTCCTTCGAATTAAATAAATTGCTTTTTAGTTTTTCAGGTAGGTCTAACAGTAGGGTTAAGATATTTAACTTTTTTTTTTACCAATTATCCAAATAATGTTTAGTCCTAGAAAGCTATTATTATCAGAACACGTGAGCATAAAATAGCGGTTAGCAGATCAATGAATGGGCAGTGTTACCAGAGTTGCCCATATACCACACCATGCTACAACACAGTAGGGCTATTGCAGACAGAAACAATACTGTACTACATCGATGTTTCCTGTCGGCTCAATTTTTGAGTGGACTTTGCTGTTCCGATTCACATGAACGGTATACGAGTGGAGCGCACACGCATAGAGCGGGATAACGGATAATACGCAGAGCGTCACACCACGTGAAAGTGAAACCTGAGCGGTGAACTAATTTTCGGCAGCCGAAATTTCGGTGCATCTCTAATTATTGGCGACATCAGAAATGGATATTATATAATAGATGCTTTTTTGAACATTTTAGCAATTTAAAAATATAAAAAAATGATTTTTTACACGGCACCCCGGTTGGGAAACACTGGTCTAAACAACTAGTTAAGCTTAAGGGAGTACTGTACAATTAGGCTGGTTTAGGTTCAGACTTGGCATTTTGCATGGCTTTAAAATATTATATTCTGTGTGTAAAGGATTATATAGCTTTTATTTAGGAAAAGTCTCTAAAGGGCATTTTAATATTAAAAAGAAAATTTAATATTGCTGCAGGAGGTTAATGTAAACATTCAAAAGTTTTTGTGAAAGAAGTCTCTTATGCTGACAAAGGATACTTTATTTAATCAAACATTCAGTAAAATAGTCAAATTGTTAAATATTACAGCAATTTAAAATAACTGTATTCTATTTGAAATTTAGATTTTTAAATGCAACTTCTTTCTGTGACGCAAAGCTGAATTTTCATTATTGCTTACTCTAGTCTTCAGTGTCACACAATCTTTCAGAAATCCTTCTAATATGCTGATCTGCTGCTCAAGAAACGTGTGTTATTATTTTATTAATGTTGAAAACAGCTGTGCTGCTTTATATTTTTGTGAAAACCATGATACATTTTTTCAGGATTCTTTGATGACTATAAAGTAAAAAAGAACAGCATTTACTACAACAGAAATCTCGTCTAACAATGCATAACAGTCACTTTCGACCAATTTAATGAATTCTTGCTGAATAAATTTAATACTTAAAAAAATATCTTACTGATCATAACCTTTTGAATGGTAGTTTGCTTCTCTGCGTGTTGGGTGGTAGTGTTTTACAAAGGGGAAGGTCTAAGACCCTATAAAAACAGTTTACCTTTTCCTCCTCTAATTTATGTTTCCTTTTCTCCTCCACCGCAGCTCTCCTCTGTTCCTCTTTCCTGCGCTGCTCTTCCAGCTTCTTCTGCCTCTCCTCCATCTGTCTCTCCACCTGCAGCTGGGCCTTGCGCTCTCGCTCCAGGAGCTGAGTCTCACGGGCCGCTGAACAGGCCAAACAGGGTGCGTTAGCAGGTGTGATTGTATGATTTGTTGTAACGTAAAAGAATGAATTATGTTCAACTCTGTGCAGGGGTTGGCAAACTTTTTTGACACAAAGGGTCATTCTTTTATCACTTTGCGTCACATCACCACTCAAAATTAATGCAGTATATATAATGGTTTTCAAAGGATGCTGAACTGTTTTGTAAACAGTGTTATTGTTCTCTTTGTGTTAGTTATGTGTTATTTCTCTTGCGCTTATCACCCGTGTGCCAATGATTGCCCTTCTGCAAGTCAATGGTCACATGCACATCTAAAGTTACCAACACCTGTTGTGTGAAATTTTTTGCTTTGTCACCATGTTGCTTTTCCTGCTCTTCTCTCCTCTCTTTGGCCACTCGGAGTTTGTCGTCTATCCTCATGGCTGCCCCATCAATGACTGAGGACACATAACAGAACACAACATCACAAACTAGTGCATCAGGTGAAATCTGAACACTTCCTGGGCCTTCAAAAGGCTCTCGGCAGATTGCACTAGTATCCGTTGCGCAGATAATCCTTTTGCATGGTCTTACATAAGGCTCAGGTTACAGATTCAGCTATGAGCTCACCACACCTGATACAGTATTGACACTAAGTCATGGGCGTGAGTGAGGACATGCTACAGGAAGTGCTGCAATGGCCCTAATGAGTGTTGGGCGGTCATGTGACAGCATGTTACTCAATTAACCAAAGCAAGACTGCGGAAAAAACAAAACGATAATAAATAATAATAAAAAGGAAAAAGGATCGTTTTAGTGCAAACCTGTTGTTTTTTTTTAAAGAAAAACTGTTACCTTTTGAATCTGTGAAAAAATCTCTTAATAAAAAAAAAAAAAAAACATTAATTTTAGATTTTTATTTACATTCATAATGAATTTTGTTTCAGTTTAAAAAAATTGAACTACTTGCACAACTGGGCCTTCAGAAAAAACCTGCAGTGACAGACAGACTGAGATCATCATTTGTTACCTGGCCTGGTCTGGCTCTTTATTGTGCTGGCTGGAGCTGGTGGTGTTGGGCTGTTCCCTGCCTGGCTGCGCCGTTCCTCTGCCTGTGCCTGCGCAGCTGCAGCTAGAAATGAAACAAGACAAAACGCACATAAAAACAGGTATCACTACTGCTTAAATAGGAAAGAAAAAAAAAAAGATGAAAGAGGAAACAAGCAAGATCTAGAGCATTAAGATTTAATCTTAAAGGTGACATATCATGAAAATCTGACTTTTCCAGGTTTTAAGTGCTATAATCAGGTCCCCAGTGCATCTACCAACCAAGGAAACGAGAAAAAAATTAACTCTGTAACTTTGTTTTGGTAAGCCTTTTTCTGCAAGCGTCTGAAAAACGAGCGCGACTGATTTTGCTTCCCTAGTGGCAAAGGCATCTTATTATAATATTACCGCCCCTTAATCTGTAAATTTCCATCTACGGCGCTGTCATTTTGATTTTGCAACAAACCCTGACGATGCAATGCATTGATCTTGAAACATGATTTTTGAATCATCGATTTCAGACAGTAATCGATTTAAAATGCTAAGAATCGAATGAATCGCAATTTCTATAGCGATTCAATGCTTTCAAAACATATACACATTAAATTACTACAAGCACGAATTAATGGAGACCTTGAACAGTGTTCTGCCCTCGCATCTCTCCTTCACGCGCTCCACTAACCGCCTGTGACTGTCACAGGATTGCGCTCGCGTTAGTTCGTCTTACTGACACATTTTTTGAGCAGCTGATGTGTGATCTCTCCTTAGTACTCGTGGCCAGTAATGCTAAAGTGAAGTAGTTTTACTTTTCTGTAGTTTTCCAATGGCTCTCGGCATCTTACCGACGACATTACCTGAGCAGTCGAAAGCTGTGTATTTATTGCATGGAGGGAGCAGAAATGTAAGTGTCTGAAGCATACGCACAGTTCCACTGAATGATAAATGTGTTTTAACAATGTTGTTGAACCGAATGTACGAAGAAACTGTTAAAATAACCACAGCATTAACAACAACCTTGAAATAAGAGTGCAAGGTTTATCTGATAATCAGATGCATGAAAGTAGAGTTTGTTGCTATAGCAAACAGACATCGGGCGCGTTTTCTTTCAAAATCATCATTCGCCGATGGAGAAGAAAAGTTAAATACTATAGCATTTTATTTTATGAAAATTAGATAAAGAAGTTTTCGCACTGAAAGAGAATTGATTTCGTGCTCATAGAACTTAAGTGCCAGCCAGGCTATATCTGCAGCTAATCTGAATAAAAAGAAGAATGAACTGATGAAACGTTAAGACAATAAAGATCTGTAAAAAAAAAAATTTTCATATCGGCGGCATATTCGCCGATATATATCGGCAAAACGATATATCGGTCGGGCTCTATCTCATATACAGCACACGATCAGTTCTCAGTGCTCAAATACACACGCAGAAGTCCAAAAGTCTATCGTGTAGAGTATCTCACGTAAATACAGTCGATTATGGATTAAGTGAAACAGGTGGGTGAAAACTGAACGTGTGTCAGTATTACATGCATGCCTTCCGTCTTAAAGGGACAGCATTCCTAATTAAGTACCTATCCTTGTCATTAATGTTAACCAACAAAAGA